GTTTTTGAGGCTCGGGCATTTTTTGATATACAAAGCGCTTACCGCATTTTTAATAGCATTGCACAGGTAATAATAGCTTCTGTAAAAATGAAAAAATGACACATTTGTAAGGTCCATTACTAAAGTTGTGCATTTTACCAGTAAAAGTTGTGAACTAGAATTGATTTTCACAGAATTAATATTATATTGTTCCATATATTATTTTTGCAGTACAATAATTTTAAAATTGTTATTATGAATTATGGTTAACGATAAAGTTAATTTATTGAATTTAGTAACAAATTTTCCTAGCAATTTTGACAAAATCATTCATTTCATTATTTAATAGAATGTATATTATTAATATGTAACCTCATAAAAAAATATTAACGAATTTTGTGTTAGATATTCATGTCACATTTAGAAAATATTTTTTGGTTAACTGTGTTGAAAAATATATTATATACCATCACTTTGTAATTATAATTAGTATCTATATATATACATATCATTACTTAAATTTCTTATATTGATTACTGACGTTAATTATAAGTGAATAGCGGCGGAGGATGGATGATTTTTTAAACTAAAACATCTGGTGTAACGTCGACGTAAAATTATAAAATATCATTTCATATAACCGTCAAGAGAAATTTTGTTAATCCCGTAAATAGGGAACGATTCTGCCCAGGTTCGACGGCTCATATAATTAGGTTATAAAACAAGTCAATAAAATGTATTCCGTCGGGCCTGAAATTGGGATAAATTTTTAGTCTAGTATTAACAGTCAAAGAAGAAGGACATATTTGTAAAACAGAATTAAATAAATTCAACGTGAATATAACAGGACTTTCATTTTCTAAAACAATCATCGTGGAGATTTCACATTTCGTCGATTATGAAATTTACAGTCCACGATCGAAGCATCAACCAGTCGACGCATTGTAAATCGCTTCACCGACAAACATCCCATATTTATATTAGACAATATTAAATATTGGCAAATGAAAGATTTAATAGAGCACATGTATCGGGGTTGAAGTGACCATTGGTGAACTTCAACTGAGAGCACTAGTAAAGGCCGCAAAGAACTGCAAATTAGAGAATTTTTGATTAAGGAAAATATACCCAGTTCGCCGCTTTCTAATTCAACAAATTCTTTTGATTATTGAACCGACCCAATGTAACGGATATGAGTGTACAATCACCTGTTATTGAACAAATAGAATTGGAGATAGTAGAACTAAATGAAAATATAGTAGACCTCACCAGTGATGAGGAGGATGAATTGGACCAACTTGGTCCAAGTCATTCCATTTCAGATTATCCATATGCGCAATATGTAACCAGAATATCTAAAAATCGAGAAAGATTACTGCTGCTGAATGATTACACATTGCATTATATAGTGTTCTTAGCCTTATTTTAATATTTTATTGATTGACTTATTTTAATAAATTGATATTTTATTGGAAATGGAGAGCATTCATTCATTAAAGTGGCTCAGCCAGAAAGAAGCAATAATTGCTCATTTGAACACATTATTAGAAAATGAAAGTTTAGTACATTAGAGACAGAAGGAAAACATCTGAAAGTACACAAACTAGTTCTATCTGCTTCAAACTGCATTTCTCAAAGTATTTTTTTAGTGCTAATTCAAAATTATTATTTTTGTAATAAAATATCAGCGAAAAGACAAAAGTGTTCTGATGGAGGAAACTTTAAACTCGATGGCGATAGACATATTGTAATAACAAATGCGGTGCTACATTACATTTGTGCGAACCACAAACCATTTAATAATGTAAATGGTAAAAGTTTTATTAAACTTCTGAAAATGATTGATAGTAGCTACAAAGTACCATCGAATACCGATTATAAAAATCTTACGACTACGAAGTTCAATTTAATGAAATTTTCATTGAAGTCCGAACTTCAATCAAAAAATTTTTGATAGATTTAATGTGTCGGTGCGATATATGCACCGACACATTAAATATGGTCAGCTATTTTTGGGTATAACTATCCATTATTTGAGCGTTTAAATTTTAAAATTGGCTGATTTAGGAACTAACAACATAAACATAAACAAGGAAATGCATACAGGAAAAAATAACATCAGAAATGGTGGATTGGCAGCCAGATGTTAGTAAGTTAACCGCAATTATCACAGTCACATTGCACATAATGCAAGTGATAAATATCAGTCGCATTTTGCCCATGCCATTAATCTAATCGCCGAAAAAACCATTTCGGATTTGGAAGTAACAAATGTTATCAAAAAAAAACAGAAGTATCGCAATTTATTTTTAAAAAAATAATATAACTACCGACAAGCTGAAAAAAGCACAAATCGAAAGCATAGGGTAACCAATCAAAATTAATATTAGACGTTAAAACAAGGTGAAACTCCTGTTACAAAACAAAAAACAACAGGTAACTACACTACCATGGTGTGTTAGTGATAACCATAGTCGCTTGTCATGTTAGAGAGATTTGTGAAGTTGACACTATAAGTAACTAAACTATCAGCGCCTGAAGTAGAAATGATAGGTGCTATCAAATATACTGCAGCCGTTAGAGTACATTACTCGGAAATAGCTATCAGCTATCAAATAATTTGGAGATAGCTATAGCAACATTGCTCGATCCTAGGTGTGAAAACTTTCATTCCAGAAATGAAAATACGTGCACGAATGCAATTACAGCATTGCCAAGTAAAATTTATTGGCATTTATTTATTATAAGGAACTTTATTTATGTCATGCAACGCGCATACAGTAAACGATGCTAAAGGTTAATTTTCAACGGTCGATTTTTTTAGTAATATTGATATTTACAATCTTTCAGTGGTTCACCATTTAGGTGGCAAATATTAAAAAGCAATATCAAATAATTAACATTGAAACAAGTTTGCAATACTCGACGGGAAGCGAAAATAACGGCCATTAGACCACTTGAGCATAAATAGACTATAGAAATTAGCCGAGTAAGCTTCTCGAACAGTTCGGCGTGAGGTTGAATGTTTGGCAATGAGAATTAAATCATATTAATTTAGTTGTTCAATAATAATATAACATAAAATTCTGGAAAGGTAGATTTCATTGGAAAAAGGATGTAAAAAGTTTCTTGGAACGTTAGTTCGTGTGCTGAATCAATTAAGAAAGTATTGAAATTTTCCGAAAGCATTAGAAATAATGAAAGTTTCGAAAATTATTTGCAATTGGCTAATGAACTTTACGAAGCATTAGAAACAGAGCCAGATTTTCCTGCTGAAATTAGTGTACGTCGCCGACGCCACCGAAAATAAATTAGCATGAAGGAGATGATGACATTCAATTGACTGCAAAAGAAAATTTTAAATTTATACTTGATACTGCAGCTATTAACTGTCCGAGTTGATACTTTCTCAAACTTTTGGATTTCTTTATAAATTTATTGATAATATTGCGAGCCAAGAGACTACGTCTTGACGATATATTGACCAAAGAACAGGCTTAGAAAAAGCCAAGAAAAAGAAACGTTAGAGAAATAAGGAAACACAAAACCACTTCATGGAGAGGCTTTGTAACCAGCGTAGGTAACGTTCACGCCGGGGCCGATTTTTGCATACGCTTTATCGAGCGGCGTGCATTTTCTTGCACGTTCAGATTTGCATAGGCGCTGCATTAGTGCTCACGCGATCAAGATTATTTCTTTAGATGAGATTGATGATGAACTAAATAACTCTATGAACCCGTTTTATTATAAGGATGTAACTCTGCTGATATTTGAACCTTTTATTTTATAAAAGGTAGAATTAAAGCTTAGTGTAGAAACGCGGTTAGACTGACCATTTTTATCTGTAAACTGCCGTTAGTTTTATTTCCGAATATATGCATTGTTGTTAGATGGAATAATTTTGTAGCTGACTCATTTTATAAATTTCTTTATAAATCAACATTATTCATAATAATATTTTAACGCCTAAATTTTGCTTTAATAATCATTATTGCAAGTAGTGCACATAGTGATGGTTGTGGTTTTTATTTTCGTATGTATAAAAATATCAACATGGATATAATAATGAGTAACTGTGATGAATATGTAAATATGAGTAGAAAAAGGGCATCAAGATTACGGATACTTTCTTCATCTTCAGATGAAGAAATTTTTTGTGTAAATAGTGAGGTGGATGATTGTTTTACTCATAATGAATATTTGGTGTCGAAATCAATAAATCAGAGTGTCGATGACGAATGACAAAGCATAGGTGAAAAAGCTTCTACAATAATTGAATATTCGGGAAAGGAGGAATTTTTACATGAAAGTATTGACTGCGATGATGCATTTGCTTTATATAAACTTTTTTTGCAGATCACATATTAGATATAATTATTGAAGAAACAGAATGCATCGGCAGCCTTGGAAGTACGAGGTCTGTTCAAAAAGTACCCGGAATTTTCGTTTTTCCAAAAAAATATTTATTTATTCGTCTACATTAATGTGGTCCCCTTCAAAGTAGTCCCCCCCAGATATAATACACTTATGCCAGCGTTTTTTCCAATTTTCGAAGCACCCTTGATATTCACTTTTTGATATGTCCTTGAGCACTCTCAGCGATTTTCTTCAATCGAGGAAAACCGCCGTCCTTTCATGGGTCTCTTCAACTTTGGGAATAGGAAAAAGTCACACGGAGCCATATCTGGTGAATTTTTGCACTTTGCAACACTTTATTTCATTTTTTACGCAAAATTTAATACAAATTCTTTGACTTTTCAATTCTTCCATTGTAAAAATCGCCGAGCTCAGAAAAACACGTCGAACCTTAGCGACTACCACAGACAAAGTAAACAGTGAATATAGCTGAAAATTTCATCATACTTTAGGGGCATGTATACCAACACAATAAAAAAAAAATTTTGACAATCAGACACTCCAGACCCGCGAAATTTAATTATTAGTAATTCCGGGTACTTTTTGAACACACCTCGTATGTTACAGCGGATAAAATGAATACTTTCATAGGCATATTACTTATCATGGGTATCGTGCAGTTACCAGAAATTCGTTTGTACTGGTCTAAAAACGGCATGTACGCAAACACTAGAATAAAAAATGCAATGAAACGTGATCGTCGTGAAAGCGACACAAATATGGCGTAAAATTATATAAATTATGTTTACCTGAAGGATATACGCATAATATAGAAAAAATGGAACGATAATTGAAAAATGCCACTCTCAAGATGTGGTAACGAGATTGCTGAACGGCTTGTTATTTGAGGGGCGCACTCTTTTCATCGATAGTTTTTACACTAGTGTTGCTTTAGGTAAACTTCTTTTAGATAATATTACATTTATCTGTGGCACAGTGAAAATTAACATAAAGAATTTACAACCCCAAGCAAAACAAAATCAAAAACGTGGCTCTGGAAAATCGCAGCGGAATCAAATTTTTAAAATGGACGGACAAAAGACCGGTATGCATGCTGACCACTGCAAATCATCATCAAGGCCAATTTATAGAAGCAGCAAGTGGCAAAATAAAGCCCGATGTTGTATTCGATTATAACGCATGAGGGTTGAAGTCACATGTTAAATAAACATAAACCACATGTTAGGAGACAATATGTTAACATCGATATTTATTGGTTGCATCTCCTTCTGACTTGCATCTTGCAATGCTACCTTGTTGCAATTTATTTAATATTAGTTTTTATTTATCCACCATATCAAATTGTGAGAAAAGAAAGATAGGAGATAAAAACAGAATATTTAATGTAGAATGCGCGTTAGATTTTTTTACTGCTGAGAAAGATAATATGATGCGTTTGTTGTGCAATACACTGTTAAATACTTGTAAAAGCTGCAAAGACTGCAATTGAATATTATTTGACTCATAAAGATTTCGCTTTAGAAGGTGAATCACAAAAAGATGCACTTCGAAAGTTAAAAAATGAGAAGCATCATCAGCAGGCATATTTTAGTGCCTTTGTAAATCAAAATTCCGCTGCAGTTTCTGTTACGTATAAAATAGCACATATACTTGGAAAACGGGGCAAACCATTTAGTGATATTGAAATAAAAAGCATGTATTGTTGAAGCAGTCAGTATCATAGATCCAAAAAATGTGGACAAATGCAAACAATTACCTCTTTCAAGAAGAACTAGAATAGCTCGACAGCCCGAACTAGCGCAAAATATAACAGAGCTACTTCATACAATTATACAAAATGCAAATGTTTATTTTTCAATTGCTTCAAATGAGAGTTTGAAGTCTTCAAAATTTTATATTTTATTCGTGCTGCCACATAAAGAATTACTAGGCGATGGGGGCACACTATCAGGAAGAATTCGCGAAAGAAACGTTAAAGAAGTATGTAATAAATTACAATTGAATTAAGTAATTTATTCAGTGTCTGCACCGATAGCGCACCTTCTATAGAGAGGCAGAAAAGAAAGATATTTTACATAGAATATTTAGAAATCCATGTCTTCTCCTATCTGATGAAAATATTTACGAACCTATAAATTCAGATCCTACCGACCTTATAAATGAAAATACTTTAATATTCATTGATTCACTCTTAGAAAGCAAGCAAATTCCCAAAAACACTCTCTCTCTACAATTAAAAACCTATAATCCTATTGCCCCAAAAGTTTTATTGTCTCCCCAAAATCCATAAAGACGGTTTTCCTCTTCGACCAAAACTTGCAATATATTTATACAACTATTTGACCATGTTTATATTATTGAACTATTAAACTTCTATGTTATGTACATTATAACAAATAAAAATAAATATTTTTTAATAGAAATCTGTTAAATATTTATTATTTTAATTTTCAGCGTCCCATTGCATAACTAAGGGTTCTATACCATAACAAAAAATAAATATCTTTTAATAAAATGTTTGTTATATATTTAATATTTTAATTTTCAGCACCCCAAAGTAAAATTAAGTTTGTACCTCATGTGGTACAGTTGCGATTGGTGAGACAGTCAAGCGTGGGCCACCGGTGGTACACGCCGCCCGATAGCACATGTGGTACACCGGTGGTACACACCGACGTGAACGTGTTAAAAGGTCTTCGAGAAAATACTAGTAGAGCGTATCTACGAAAAGTATAGAAAAATGAGTATGTGCAACGCACGACAGTTTGGCTTCAAGGCAAGGCAACTTTTAGAAAACCTTCGATAACTATGGTAGCCCGCCATCATACATAAGCTGACGCAGGCCAAATTCAGCAGCCTCATGGTAAATATAGTTAAGGACTACTTTAAAAAGAATAACGCCTATGAAACAGAAAACACCAAAATCGTTAAGAAAAACATGCAAAAGGGATGTCAACAGGGATCAAAAATTTTGACATGTTGCATAAAACTTCTGCATGGACGCTCTTCTAAAGAGCCTAACTCAGGTGGAAGAAAATGTGGAACCTGTTGCATAAGCAGATGACTTGGCGCTTGTGATCGGAGGAAACTCCAGATATGACCTGGAAAGAACTGTGTTAAATAATGAGGCATGCCGTACTACGGCAAACAATGCACTCCAAGCAATAAACGGCAAAATGCCACTTGACTTAGAAGTCATACAGTGAGGAATCTAAAAGGAATCCTATATAAATGTGGAAAAACAATCTTGAATATCCATGCTTTCGACATAAGCCCGCCGTTTGCTTTCCTGGCTCGGAATTACCTACTGTTCCAAGACAACATTTTCTCTCATGTTAAAAAAAAAACAAATTTGAGAATGCAAATTAAAGATGCACATTAAGAGGATTAATTAAAACTGGGTGTAAAGATTTAAACATTTTATGAAACCATTATTGAGGAAGAAGACAAAACGTATATCCAAAACGTCCTATAAAAAATTGGTTTGCATTGCTTTTCAGTGAAACCTTAAAGCTTTTTGTACCATAAACATAACCTGAAATATGTATTTTATTTATCCAAGTGCACGTGGACGTTACTCATTCGACTAAAGTAATAACATATTCGACTGAAGTTTATATGAGACAAGCAACGAGATAAAAAGCAAAACTTCGCTTTCGACATGCAGTATAGTGTATGGGCAAAAATAAATCTAATGTGACGTTACATTTGTTAATTTTTCATTTCACAAAGAGACTTAAAGAAAGATCAGGAAATAATATCTGTAGCTGTAAGCTCAATTATTTTTCTTTCAGTGGCGGATCCAGGGGGGGGTCACGGGGGTCATGACCCCCCTGAGCTAGTTACAAGATTTAGGTAAACCGCCAAATATAACAAGCCGAAAACCTTTTTCTCATTCTACACTTGTCGGCACTATTGTCATAAAGAAAAAATCCGAGTACATTATTAGTCGATATTAATTAGTACTTAGTATAATGTATTTAGTTTATAAACAAATCATAATTAGATATCAACACATCACAAAGACTTATAGAAAATTATTATACTCTGTGATTGTCTAATAAATAAATAAAATAATTGTATATGAACGATTTCTAAGAATCTGCAACGTACGCATAAGAAAGAAATCATTCACCAGCAGGCCCAATGTTATCATTGATTATAAAACTATTTATCACTCGATGACTGACTTGTAAATTTTCGTTATAATAAAATAATAAACGAATACGAATGATGAATAGGAAGATATACAATATAGGGTATTATAGCGTGTCGATTGTATATATTATATATTTTGTTTAAAATATCATTGATAACGCATTAGATATGAGGACAATGCACGTGGACGACTAATAATTTTTATAAATGGGTTTCATTCATTAGGCCGTATATAACATATAAATAATAGCCTCGGAAAAATCAATTAGATATGAACTGTCGACTAACCAACGTCTAAAATCTTTAATAAATTATAATCAGAGCGCAAAATAAAATATATTTCAGAAATAATTCAAAATAATTCACAGTTTACTGATCTAATGACATAAAGTGCAACAAACTGAGTGTAGTGAGTTATAAAAAAAGTGTTTCTTAGTTTATGTGTTTTTTATTGAAATATTATTATAAGTAAGTTACTTCATATGTTACTTTATATTTACTTTTTTACTTTTTTTTCTTTATACTTTTTAGCATTGATCTCTATTTTTTACATTCATTACTTTAATTCTTTATAACTTCTAAATTACTTTTAATTTTCGATATTCATTACATCTTAGTATTATTATTTTAATTGTTATCTGGAATATTTTATTTTTTAATCATATTGTGTTAATTTCTCGAAAAAGAAGTTTATGTTTTCACCAGAAAATCCGATTTGCTAATTTTATATTTCTCAACGTTTCAAGTCATTGTGAGTGGAGTGAAACCAAACTTAACTAGTTGGTATTGGTATTTTGCCATAAGGCAAGTTACATGAACTTCCCGATATGTGTAGATAATCGACTTAATCCATGATAAATAAATTCATTTATGAGTAGTTCAAAGTATTCGAAGTGGATTTGTTACACATTATTAAAAATCGAACGCGTTAACACGGTAGGAGTATTTTCTGAAACCAAATTTTCAAAATTTGCATTATTTTGCCGTAACATGCTTTAGTATGTTTATTAAGACCAGATACTTTATCGCTATACCAAGTAAATCATCTAATTTTAATTTTAATAGAAATCAAAAAAACTTCTCATTTTAAAAATAAACTACTTGCCGTAACACCGTAATATTTTAGTAAGTTGTATAAGACCATGATATATATCATCAAAAAAAGTTTCATAAAAATCGACTCAGTTTTTTTTTTCAACTATGAATTACAAGAAAACGGCTCGGTAGATTTTCACCTAAAATTTATCAGTATCATTCCCAACTAATATCTTTCGAACAGTTTTTGATTTTTTGAAATCGATTCGGTAGTATGAGCTTAAATGTAGACGAAAAGTTTAACACTTTATTCCAAATTACAAAGAAACGGCTCGGCCGATCGTCGCACAAAACTGATAAACGATAGTCCTCATCGAGATACTTCAAATGGTTTTTAAATTTCTGAAATCGGTTTAGGCGTTTTTGAGAAAACGTCGATGAAAGGTGTATTTTTGACAAATGCCAAAAAACGATATTAATTTTTGCAAACTTTGACGAATTTTTTTAAGCTAAATGAGTTGTCGTAGGGCCGTAACATTTTAGTATGATCTAGAAGGTTATTCTACGAGTATTTACCGTCAAAAAATAATAATAAAAATCGTCGAAAAAATTTTTTTCAACACTTTATTACAAAAAAAAAACGGCCCGGCCGATCTCTACCAAAAACTCATCAGCGCGATTCCCAACCAATATCTTTCGAACGCTTTTTGAATTTTCAAAATCGATTCAGAACTGCGGGCTAAAAATTGGACGATTTTTTTCACTTTTCTGCTATTCACAAAGAAACGGTTTGGCTGATCGTACCGCAAACTTGAAAAACGATAGTCCTAATCGCGATACATCGAAGGGCTTATGAATTTTTGATATCGGTCCAGCCGTTTTTGAGAAAATATCGATTTGCGGCAAAAATCTGTTTACATACAAACACACACGCATACCTTTTCTAAACTTGGTCTCATTCGATTTAGAATGACTTGAAACGTCGAGAATACTAAAATTAGCGAATCGGATATTTTGATGAATACATAAACTTCTCCCTCGGGAAGTTAAAAAAATATGAACTTGGAGCTGCCATGTATATGTGTATGTCAACAGAATTTTTATTTTTCGTCGACGAAACGTTTCTCAAAAACGGCTGAACCGATTTCAAAAACTTAAAAGCCATTTGATATATCTTGATAAAGACTAGCATCGACTATTTTTTATCGTTCGTCAGAAACTGCTCGAAAAATATTGGGCCGAGCCGTTTCTTCGTAAAAAAAATTCAAAATTGTTTTTTGACATCTTTCTTTTTTTAACTTTTTATAACAAGAGATATCATACACTGAATAATATACTTAAATATTATGGGCTTACAATAATCCGTTAAATTATAAATAAATCATCAATGTTTAGAATTTAATCGCGCACACAAGCGATTCATTCATTACAAGAATCAGTTTTTCATTATTCCTGTGTATTTTATTTTTTATGTATCTTTAATTATTTTGACATTAAGGGAGATAGAAAAACATTTTGCTTAATAATAAAAATATTCGCATGGTTTTGCTTGCAGGCTGATTCTAAGGGAAAAGTGGAAAGTGGATTGAAACGCTCGTTGAATAAAATAGATTCAAGAAACCGAGACTCGAGATCGCTCGAGATTCACCTACAACTTCAGGTAAAAATAACTGCTTCGCCGATGCTTCTGCTTCTGCAGATGCATTGCGATGTAGGGCATTATCAATTGATGAGGAAACTCCAACACTTTCGGAACCAATGTTTGCTGCGGATATTGGTTGTTATATAGGAAAAATCGTTAGCGATTCGATGAAAGCTGTGTTGCTTGAAAAACATTGGCAGCCTCCCTCTAATTATACTTTTCCGCATTGTATTGTAAATAAAAAGAGAAAACAGACAAAAAAATATGCACAAAAATCTCACCTCGAAAAATTTCAATGGCTGGTTTTGTCGCATAAAGACCAGGGTCTTTATTGCAAGTATTGTGCTTTGTTTGTTGTAGCTTCTGGAGGTGGTGTTCAGACAGAAACACCTTTGCGGCGATTTGTAAGGGAACCAATGAAAGCTTTTGATGATTTGCTAGGTGAAAATGGTGCTCTGCTAACACACCAGCGAAATAAATACCATCAATCAGCTGTCGAAGCCGGGAAGAACTTTTTATTAAATTTCCACAAACCGGAAATGAACATAATAAACCAACTAGACAACCAAAAACTAAAGCAAATTAATTAAAACAGAGAACGATTAAGGCCAATTATAAAAACAATATTTTGTGGCCATCAAAATATTTCATTGCGTGGTCATCGCGACGATGGTAAATTGAAATATAATATAGTATCCGATGAAGGAAATTTTAGGGCTCTTTTAAAGTTCCGTGTTGATTCGGGTGATACTGCATTGCAGCATCACTTGGAATCTTCAAGTGCCAACGCCACATACATCAGCAAAACTGTACAAAATGAGCTAATAGATGTGTGTGCAGAAGTCATCCAAGAAACAATTTTAAAGAATGTGCGGGAAGCCAGATTTTTTTCAATTTTGTTTGACGAAACCACTGATATATCGCATATCTCACAGCTGAGCCTCTCATTACGTTATTTTCATAATGCTATTATTAAGGAACATTTTGTGACTTTTTGCGATACATATGATGCTCTTAAATCTGAGGACAATAATTTAGGTGACATAGAGCCTAGATTGACAGGTAAATCATTGGCAAAAATTGTTCAAAATTTGTGTACCAAATACAATTTAGATTTATCTTGTTGTGTGGGTATTGGAACTGACAGCTGCTCGGTTATGGCATCAAATACAAAAGGTGCAGTGCAGGAGTTAATGAAAATTGCCATCCATGCTAAACGTTGCCCATGCAACAACCATGTTCTCAATAATGCATTAGCAAAATCATCAAAATTAGTTTCTTGCCGCAATACATCTGGCATAATGAAAAAAGTTGTGGCATTTGCCAATGCATCTGCTAAGAGGCATGCAATTTTTAAGTTAGAACTTGGAGCTGCCATGCAAGGTATTTGTGAAACACGCTGGGTAGAAAGGCATGATGGGCATCTTCAGTTTCAAGGGGACAACTTAATCAAAATTTGTAGCGCTCTGGAGAAGATTTCTGCTTGGCAAGATAATAAAACTGCCAATGATGCACATTGCTTGCTGCAAACATTACGCAGTTCTGACTTTATAATATCTTCCATCTGCTTAAGTGATGTATTAGGTGGGTGTATAATTTATTATTTTTACAAATTCATTAGTTAGTTTATGCACTACAGTAACTATAACTTATTTTTTTTCAGGTACTACTGTATCTTTAAGCAGAATTCTGCAATCGAGCTCGATTGATTTGAAAAAAGCTACAGATGCTTTTAATGACACATTAAGGGTTCTGAGAAATAGAAGAGAAAATGTGGACGAAATCTTCCAACAGCTGTTTGAAGAAGCTAAAGAAGTAGCTGAGCAGTTAGATATAGATATTAAATGTCCGAGATTAGTATCAAAACAGATACATAGAGCCAATAATCAATCTGCTCAGTCTGCTGAAGATTATTTCCGCCGAGCTGTTTATATTCCTCTTTTAGATTCAATAATCAGCGATCTCCAGGACCGCTTGTCTCCTGATGTACTTAATTTATTTAAGCTGAATGTTTTTATGCCAAAAACCGAACATAACAATAAAGACATTGAAGCTGTAAGACAACTAGCTAACGACTATAAACTGTTACTAGATAACACTCCAGTGTCTATTATTGTAAATGAATATAGGCTGTGGATGGTGAAGTGGCAGTCCTGGCAGCAAACTCAGGATACACCGCACTCAATATCTGAGGTTATTACAAATTGTGACATTGATATGTATCCTAACATAAGAAAATTCTTACAAATAATAGCTACACTACCTGTCAGTGTGGCTACAGCAGAAAGGTCTTTCTCTACGTTGCGTAGAATAAAAACATGGATAAGATCTTCAATGGCGGAAGATCGTTTGACAGGACTGGCACTTCTCCATGTACATAAAAATATAGCGATTGACATCGATGATGTAATAACGCGTTTTGGGAGAAGACACAAAAGAAAAATTAATTTTGTAATTTGAAAATGTGTATTTTGCTTATTTTTTAAATTATTAAGTATGTTTTTTAGTTATTATATATAGTAAAATTGTTTTTTCGTAATAATTATATATTTGAATGTTAAGAGGACTCAGTTAATATTATACATTTTATTTTTTATAGGTATTTATATATTTATTTTTATTATATATGTTATGTAGCGATTTTCAGATGTAGAGTACTTATTTACATTAATAAAATACCTAAATTCAATTTGAAATAATTACAACCATTTGATCACGAAACCTTTTTTTGAACTAAGCGACCCCCCCTGGCGCCAAAGCTGGATCCGCCACTGTTTTCTTTTAGGTGAAAGATGTAGAGATTTGAACCATGCTCGAAAAATGTTCACTCATATTGTGTGGATTTTAGTTAGCAAGTATTATAATGTACAAATAGATTTAGCGATCAAGGAAATAAATCTATTTGAAAATAATGACTCAGTATCAAACAAGACAATCTTGACTGATACTGATGTTTCAGAAATAGCAAATGATTGTGAGCCATGTCGAGATCTTTTACGAAATTGTCTATTTCATAAAGATTTCCTTCGAATTAAATGCGAAACCGAAAAGATTATACCGAAAGAAGGATTTATTAATCGTTTTTTCCTCCCAGGTTTCTTAAATTATGTAGTGGACAGGTATATTCCAATTATACCTTTGTGGTCAGGTCTAATGTTAGATAATGACAGAAAACATTTGTATTCAAATGCTGCTGTCGAATCATTTTTCAATACATTAAAGAACAATATCTGCCATCGTAATAAATATGTGAAAGCAGAACATTTCGTGGAGAAATTGAGAGGTATGTTGCGCCTTGCCAATAATGATTTAATAAATAAATGCCCTGTAACACAGAAACTTAATCCTGAGAAAAGCAACAAAAGTTACAATAGAAAAAAAAGAAGAAATGCAAGTCAGGAGAAGTTAGGCATGGTAAATAATATTAAAACTAGTTGGTTTGGTATTTAGCCTTGAGGCAAGTTACATGAACTTCCCGATATGTTTAAATAATCGACTTAATCAATAAAAAATAAATTAATTTATGAGTCATTAAAAGTATTCCGAGTGGATTTATTACACATAATTGAAACGAACGAACACTTTGACTCCGAGTATTTTCTAAAATTTTCTTATCCCTTTCTATGATATGCACTCATACACAAAACATTTGTGAATCATTCCATTGCTCGCATGTCAATGACATATGCATCAACAATTTTCAAAATAGAAAACAATAGAATGGTGGGCTTTGTGCGTTTAACTTGTTTTCAAATGCTTGTAGCATACAGTGTTTTATCTGGCAAAAGATTTGGCAATATATAATATACAGTATTATATAAAATATATGATATTTTCTCACTAACAGTTTAAATCATTTCAAATATGACGAAAGCAGCCGCAGATAAGCAGGAGGAAGAAAAAATAAGCAGAGACATCAGCCAATTGAGTCTGTCGTCCACATCGAGCCAAGAGCAAAGTTATAAGTGCTATAACCATGCTGAGAACAGTCTTATCAAAATGCAAGCATACTTAAATAATGGACAACTGTGTGATATCACATTAGTTGCTGGCAATGATGGGACAAAAGTGTCCGCCCATCGGCTTGTTCTCTCAGCATGCAGTGAGTACTTCTCTGTCATGTTTACAGGTAACCTTAAGGAAGCAAATCAGAATGAAATTCAGCTATGCTCTGTCGATGGGGATGCCCTACAAAATCTGGTGCAGTATTGTTACACGGGTTCTATTGAGCTACGAGAAGATAACGCGGAGACGTTACTTGCAACAGCATGTTTGTTGCAACTTAATGATGTCATTGAAGCATGCTGCACATTTCTTGCAAAACAATTGCACCCTTCTAATTGCTTAGGAATTGCTTTGTTTGCGGAACAACAATCTTGCCCAACCCTGCTTAAGAAGTCTATAAGTTACGTTCATGAAAATGCACGTATGGAGAGATGAAGAGTTTTTGCGGTTATCAGATACTCAGTTATCAGCATTGCTCAGAAGTGATGATCTAAATGTTAATTCAGAACAGGAAGTTTTTCTAGCACTCATGGAATGGGTGAATGAAGATAAAGCCAATAGAGAAAAACATCTTCCACGCTTGTTAGAGTTTATTCGTCTTCCATTGCTTTCACCATTATTCTTAGTTGATCAAGTAGATGTTTTGTGTGGTAACATATTGGAGTGTCAGAAACTTGTAGTGAATGCACTGAAATGGCATTTATTGCCCGAGAGGCGACCTTATCTTGCTAACAATTGGTCAAGGGCCAGAAAAGCTAATCTTGGTAAAGTAATCGTATTAGGTGGTGTTGATGCCACCAGAGGAGCTACTCCCATGGAATTATATTGTCCGTGGAGTGACAAATGGTCTTCCTTTGGTCTTATGAGTGGTCGAAAATTGCAGTTCGGATCTGTGATCATTAAAGATAAACTCATGGTTGTTGGAGGTAGAGATGGATTAAAAACACTGAATACAGTGGAATGTTTAGATTTAGTTAGCATGACTTGGAGCATGCTACCTCCGATGAGCACACACACACGGACTAGGTGTTGCAATCTTAGAAGGACCTTTATACGCAATTGGAGGTCATGATGGTTGGTCATACTTGAACACTGTGGAACGTTGGAATCCAATTGCTCCCACATGGTCCTACGTTGCACACATGATATGTCAGAGAAATTCTCCTGGTGTAGCTGTGTTGAATGGAAAATTATACGCTGTTGGCGGTCGTGATGGCGGTGGTTGTTTAAGTACAGTAGAGTGCTATGATCAGGGCCGGATTTAGAAATTTGGCGCCCCGGGGCAATGACAAAAATGCCGCCCCATCCCCGAAATTTTACGAACTTTCGAACTTTTTTTAAAGCAATCGTGCTGCTTCAGCTGCGAGAGACAAAATATAGAAGCGCGTAAGCGCCGTGTCGCAGTCTAACGGATAAACAATGCTACAAAACTTATATAAATGTAATCAAAATTTATACTTATTATTATAATATCTTTAAAATATCTGGTAATTTAATGTGCATATGTCTTAAGATCACTTTTGTCCGCCAAATGTTTCTATATCAAATTTTTTTATTGGATCATCGAAACCGCTAAACCTGCCCCACACAAATTTAAGCAGTTATTTATTCTGTAAATTTTTTTGAATGTTATTGGACGCTTTTTTCTCAAAAACTGAATTATCATTTTTGGCATTTTGACCCGTATCTTCAAAACAGGTGGACCTGCCTTGACCGATAACTAATCAGCATGTCTCCTTATCAATAGGAATTGAATCATAAATCGGCTTGAATAATTAAAAAATATTAGATTTGAGACGTGCTGATTAGCTTTTGGTACAGGCAATTACGAAAAATGGTAATTGAGTTTCGATATTTCTTCTCTGAAACAGCTACGCAGCGCGATTGCTTTGCAAAAAGTTCATAATTTTCGAAAAATTTCAAAATACAAAAAATGTGTTTTAGAAGTCTTTTTTTTTCATTTTTCAATAAAATTTAAAGCTCTTTATAAAATGTAATTTTCAGTACGGGATGTTTCAGTAATTTGTCTTAAGGCAAATGAGTCACTAGTTTAAATTTGTTTTTCGGCGCTTTAAGCTTGGAAGTGCACAAATACGTCATTTTAAGAGGGCTCGAGAACTGAAAAACATATTTTTCTTAAACTTTCAGCTTCTTTCCGGATATTTATATTAGCCAAATGGCCAAATTTGATAACTTATTAACCAATTTGATAATTTACGTTCGGATAGGGAGGCAAGGCAAAATAATAAATTTTAGTTATCGTTTATTTCAACCCAAATTTTGCATTGCAATCGTATTATGTTTTGTTAATTATATTTTTTGAAATAAAAAATGTTGTTAAAAAAAATTGATTATATTGAATAGAATTTTTTTCTCACTATCCAAATTTTGCCGCCCCCCAAAATTTGCTGCCCTGAGCAGTAGCCCCGATTGCCCCTACTGTAAATCCAGCACTGGCTATGATCCACATACTAATAAGTGGAAAATGTGTGCTTCTATGAGCATCAGAAGAGGTGGAGTTGCAGTGGGAGCTGTTAATGGCTTCCTCTATGCACTTGGAGGTCATGATGCACCAGCATCTAATCCCAGTGCAAGTAGATATGACCTAGTAGAGAGATATGATCCAGTCTCAAACATCTGGACTCCTATGGCTTCTTTGACTTGCTGCCGTGATGCAATTGGCGTCTGTGTGTTAGGGGATAGATTATTGGCAGTTGGTGGTTTTGATGGATCTAAATACTTAACTGCAGCCGAGGAATACAATCCTCAAACCAATGAATGGAAGCAAGTATGTGATATGCTAGTGGGCCGTGCAGGTGGAAGTGTTGTAGTTATGTCTCATTCATCGTTTCCCAACACTATGATTCCAGAAATCATAAAGAAGACATCTCCACCTTCCACAACTGCTAATGCTAAATAAGGAATCCCTTGATAACTTTTTGAATACATCAAAGTACCATTACAGGATTAATTCTCTCCTATATATTTAACCAAAGCCATTACACTGCCAAACAGCATATTCTGTAATACAAGTTTTCTAAAGATAATATTCCGAAGCATGGTAAATGTGATATAAAGTTGTATAATGTGGTTTAACATAATGTAAATTATAATACATTATTTACTCAAACAATTGTTAATAATGTAAACTAATAGTCTAATTTTTATTAATTTAGAAGACTTAAAACTCTTAGATAAACTTAGCAATATCAAATTTCCATTATACATTGAAATGACTAAAATGATATATATATATATATATATATATATATATATATATATATATTAGGGTGGTCCTTAAAATGGTCATTTTCGAATTTCCTTGCTCCCAGGGGCTCAAATGGTTCCAAATAGATAAAATTCAATCAAAGTTTTGTATGGAAATAGCATGGAAAAATTTAAAAAAAAATTAAAAATGTGTTTTAGATGGAATTTAGCAAACAAATGAATGAATAAAACTCATTCATTTGTCGCTAAGTTATACCTAAAACATTTTTTTTAAATTTTCAAAAATTTTTCCATGCTCTTTCCATACTAACTTTGATTGAATTGCGCTCTGTCTAAACGTTAATATTAAGAGCTAAAACTTTCAGAGAATTGTTTTTTATCAATTTGGAAACACTTGGAAACATATATATATATATATATATATATATATATATATATATGATTGATTTCTTGAAGGGCGTAACATCAAGTAAAAAATAATTAAGGTAAAGATTTTTTTAAAACATATTTATTTTTCCATACGTTTCGACGTAAAATTCTACGTCACCGTCAGTGGTTCTACAATTTAAAAAAAGAAAGTAACGTTACAAATTGAATATACATAAGCAATAGTAAGTTTCTAGTAGTTTTCTAAAAGCAAATTTTATATAATTGAACCAGTTTTCAGGACTTTAATGGTTTATTATGTTCAAAACCAAGTACTCTATCATTATACCAAGTAAATAGTCTAATTTTAATTTTAACAAATCTCAAAAGAACTACTCATTTTCTCAAACTTTGATGAATTTTTAAAATCAAACTATTTGTTGTAAGGCCGTAATATTTCAGTGAGTTCTACTATAAGACCATGGTATATATCACTAAAAAAAA